ATCCGCCTGGCTCTGCCTCCCGAGTGCTGGGATTAAAGGCGTGCGCCACCACCGCCCGGCTCTTTTCTTTTCTTTCTTTCTTTTTTTTTTGAGATTGTTACTGTAATTGATTCTTTTAAAAACACATTTTTATGAGATTTTGTTTTATTCTTTAAAATCATGTGTAGTTGTGTCTGAGCACATGAGCGCAGCTGCCTGCCAGGCCAAGAGAGGGGCGACAGGTCCCCTGGAGCTCGAGTGCCTGGTGGTTGTGAGACTCCTGAGGTGGGTGCTGGGCACTCACTTACCATCCTTCGCCAGAGGGGTATACACACAACTGCTGTCATCCCACAGCCCCGTGGTTTTCCTTCATTTTTTCTTTACACTTGTTGTGTGTATGTACATGCATGTGCACACATCACAACACTCACGTGGAGGTCAGAAGACCTGTGGGAGTTGGTTCTTTACCTCCACCATGTGGGTCCTGGGAATTGAATTCAGGTCGTCAGGTATGGCTGAGCCTTCTCTTCCAAAATGTAAGCAGATGTACCTTTGCTGTGCTGGGCACTGTCTAAGATGGCATTTCTTCATGCCCTAAGTGGGCATGAAGGAGGTGACAGCCTTCACTGGCTCTGGGCGCCCTCCTAAGAGGCCTGGCATCCAGAAGGGCAGCCTCGGGTCTCAGGGGGGCTTTGGGTACTGGTGCTTGCTTGTCTGTCTCTAAGACAAGTGTGTGTGTGTGTGCCAAATGCTGCCTGATGTTCCCCTGCGTGAGAATTTCCCGCCACTGCTGTCCCCAGCCTACGTGGCCGAGGTTTCGTGGTGGAACTTTCAGAATGGTAGGGCGGACTAGCTCAGAGCTCCCTTACTGAGCTGGCTCATCTTCCCGGAGCACCTGGTGCTCTGGTCCTGCTTGTGCAGGAGAATAAAGGATCATTAGGCACTGAAGCAGGCCCAGCAGTGATCAGGGCTTGGGGTCCAGGGTATGACGGACCCTGTGCCAGGTTTTGATTGCATTCTGTTGCAGGCAGGAATTCCAAGCGTGGACTGGAGTGAAGCCCTCAAGATCCACAAAGGCAAGATCTGCCAGAGTCATCACAACTCACAGCTCTGGGTGGGACCCCAGCCCTGGGGCCAGCTTCCAGGTCAGCCTTGGGGTGGTGCCTCTAGGGCAGGGAAGATAGACTCACTTGTTCTCCGGGATAGGGGTCAGGAGACAGATTTTGGTGGCACGCAATGGCATGATGGTTAAGGATAGCAGTGCCCAACCAACTGTACCCACCAACAGAAAAGCTACCCAGCCCCTGGCTAGGTGGCTTCTCTGGCACTGCCCTCTCTGGTGAGCAGCATCTGTCTGCCTCCCAAGCCCCAGCATGTCCCCTTGACTACTAAGAGGGCTAGTGACTTTGAAGGGTGGGAGTGTATGTAGCTCAGTGGTAGACTGCATGCCCAGCATACATGAAGCCCTGAGTTCCAGCCCTGCTCCCTGCAAAAATACTAAAACCTAAGTGACCTAGGCATCACTCTGTGGTACAACAGAGGCATGCCACATGTGAGGTTTGGGGTTCCCTCCCTGGACTGCAGGGCTAGTTAGCATCTTTACCCCAACTAAAGGGCAGAGGGAGCTCATGTTCCCTATGTGACCCGCCACAGTAGTGACATAACTTCCTTAGCTAATTTCCACTGCCAAGGAATTCTTTTCTCAGAGCCAGGGGTTGGGGTGGATGGAGGAAAGAGCCCACTGATGTGGCCACACTTCTTTTTTAGGTTCCAGAGGTGAGGAAATTCACACCCAACCCCTCAGCCATCTTTCAGACATCAGCTCCCCGGACTCTCAATGTGTGACCAGTGGAGAGCAGTGGAGAGCAGTGGAGAGCAGTGGAGATCGTGGCTGCTGGGAAAGCTGACGGACACCTCCAGACCTCCCCGAAGGGGGCCTGACTTGGTCCTTTGCTGACTGGAGCAGCATGGCTGCCGGCCCTGGCCGTGGTGTGGAGTGGAGGCAGGCGGGTAGACCACCACCAGCCACACTCGGCCCCTCCCACCCTCCTCCTCAAACAGGGGGAAGGAGACTTGAACTTTTAAATTGCCATTTGGCACCTTTCAATTTTTAAATCTGAGGATCAATTCAGCTGTGACCTGAACTGCTCCAGACTGAGAAATCTATCAAGTCCTTGACAGACCAGTTACTCACTTTGGATGGTTTCCCAAGATGCATGTTAATTCTATTTGATAACCTATGGTAGGCCCAGGCAGTTTTCTCATCTCTTTCTGCAGTGGCCCACATGCTTACATCAAGAAATCTTACCCAGGCAGTGGTAGGCACACACCTTTAATCCCAGTGGGGGCAGAGGCAGGCAGATCTCTGTGATCTTGAGGCCAGCATGGTCTAGAGTTAGTTCCATGACAGCCAGGGCTACACAGAGAAAACCTGTCTCAACACACACACACACACACACACACACACACACACACACACACACACACACACACACACACACCAAAAACAAAAACAACTTAGGTTGTCAGAACTGATGCCTTCAATGCCAGCACTTTAGAGGCAGAGGCAGGAGGATCTCTATGTCTATGAGCTCAATGCCAGCCTGGTCTACATAGCAAGTTCCAGGACAGCCTGGTCCACATAGAGGGACCCTGTTTCAAAACAATAACAAAACCTTAAGTTTAAATACATATAAAACCACCTGCACACGACTCTCATGGTGGTGCTATGTATCCAAGTAGAAATTCCATATATATGTGGAATACACACACACACACACACACACACACAGGTCATATCTATCCAGGGAGATCATCCACATGTTTTCAATTTCAAACGTAATTTCTTTATAGCCAGGATGATCATGTTTCAGGAAAACAATTCCCACAGGATGAGTGACATGTTGACAGCATGAATAGCATTCACCCCATGTTTCTAGGGGCTGAGCCCTGTCCTAATTTCTGTTGTCTCCCCTCGACACAAGGACCAGAAGGGACTACCATGCACATCCATGAGGAGCTGGGTGCATGTCTGGAAAGCATCCCCTAGAGGGGCCTTTAGCTCCGGCCTGCTGGCTCCCCAACTCTGGTTAGGTACTCACTACCCCGCTGTGGGGACAACCCCCTCCGTCTTTGGAAAACTTGTTCTCATGGTTGCAGCCAGTATGGCCGTGTAGAACAAGTCCATTCCCTTTGCACAACCACCTCTCAAACACCAGGAAGGACTATGTCTAAGAGGCTCGGTAGTGTTCGGTAAGAACCGTAAGGGTTTCCTTCGAAGCCAAGGCAGGGGAGGCAGCTCAGGCCTCCCACACAGCATCCCCTCAGAGGTGCTAGCAGGCCCAGCCTCCCCCTTGCTGGCCGAGGAAACGCTGTTGAGTCATTCTGAAGGGAAAATTGGAACCATGTGCATATACCAAGGGTCCTGTCACTCTAGATTTGCCAGTGTGCATGCTCAGTGTTCCCAAGAGGGAAGAGACTGCCTGCTGGGCACCTAAATGTAGGCAGTGAGCAGATTAACAATTTACTAAAATGCAAAAAATGTGCTGGGCAACTTAAGTTATAAACTCAAGTACCTTCCCATTCATCTGGTCTCTCAATAATGGCTTTAACAGAGCGTGACGGCGCGAGTATCCCTGACACTTACGAACTGTGTGCCCTTCTTGCAGAGGGCTGCAGCTGGCTCCAGCGTGGCCGGTGGTACCTTCTGCCCACCTCAGCTCTCCTGCACCCTTAAGTGGGAAAAGGGACCGTCTGGACCACTGCTGCTTCCACACTTGCGGGGACAATGGGAGCTTCCATTTCTGCGTCTGCAAGGGAGGCTGCTGTCGCCTAACACCCTGCTGACTTGCTAGGCACATCCCATGCTCAGCAGTCAAGTCAGCCAAGCATGGCTCCTCAATTGTCCTTTCCCGCTTAACTCTCTTCCCGGCGCCTCTGGGCCCTGCTGCGGCCACGGGCAGGCCCCAACTAAGAAGAGCCCCTGGCTGCGTGCTGCCAATGACCACACCACATGCCCGGCACCCCCCCACCCCACCCCGTTCATTCATTCTCAGTGTAGAGATGCATGACCCTGCTGCATTCGGCCGGCATAGAGCACACCTGTCCCTTTCTGGCACTGTAGCACTGCAGTGGCCACGGAGTGGAGCTGACCTCTGCTAGGTCACAGGTTGTTCGGAACCTCAGCAATGTGCCACACAGCTCTTCCCACCAGCCCTCTGCTCTTCAGAAGTCCCTCCTCGTTCCAGATCCGAGAAAGGCCACAAAGCTCCGTGAGCAACCCAAGAAGCAAGACAAGAGTCAGCCATGTTCTCCCAGTCCTGAGTCCACCTCACACACACGTGCACAAAGACCAGAGAAATGCACTGGAGGACCAGCAGGGCTCACCTCTGAGTGTGTGTGTGTTCCAGCATGTGCAGGTACATGTGTGTGTGTTCCTGTATATGTGGATAGTATTCCTGTATGTGCAGGTAACGTGTGTTCCTTTATGTGTGGCTGTTGGTGCATTCCTGTGTGTGCAGGTTCATGTGTGTGCTCATGTTTGGGTACATGTGTTCCTGTATGTCTGGGTACATGTGTGTATTCCTGTATGTGCAGGTATCTCTGTGTGTTCCTGTATGTTTGGGTACATGTGTGTTTCTGTATGTGCAGGTACATGTGTGTTCCTGTATGTGCGGGTACATGTGTGTGTTCCTGTATGTGCGGGTACATGTGTGTGTTCCTGTGTGTGCGGATACACGTGTAGAGGACAGAAGACAACCCAAAGTGTTTTTCAGGTATCTTTCTCTTTCCTCATTGGTCTGAAGGTCACCAAGTAGGCTAGCGGGCTCCACAGCAGGCCTCCAGGGACCTGCCTCTGCCTGTCCAGTGCTCTGACCCTAAGTGTGCACCACCAAGCCCGCCTTGTTTACGTGGGTTCTGGTGACTGAACTCAGGTACTGCACACGCCACCAACTGAGCCATCTCTCCAGTCCTAATTTTTAAAAATACTTTATCGTACCTGCTTAAAATTCCTATAAAGTTTAATAATTTTTATATTCTGTAAGTTTTTAAAAATAAAGCAGTTGAATCTGTTAATTTGAGCAAAGAGTGTTCAATATTGATTACCCCATGACCACAGTGACCGATGTGGGAACTGCCTCAGTCTGCTGTGTGTACATTAGGAGGTCCTTTCACAGCTGAAGGAAGAAGGCCTTACCTCTCCGTGCTATACGGGACAGAACTTCCAGGACTCCAGGCTTCCGTTGGCTGGGCTATGCCACCCTCCTGAGGCCCAGGGACGGGCCGTCGGCACCCATCCTGATCTATGCCCCCGCTAACCCTACGCTCCAAGGCTCAGCTTTCTGACTTTGTAAAGTTGCTTCCCAGCAAGCTAGCTCTGTGGCCTGGATCCCCTCAAAAGTCGCAGATTTGAGAACCTCTAGTTCTGTACTGTAGTCTCCACCTTTTGGTAATTTTTTAGAAACCCACGACAGCATACGAGAATGAAAGGACTGTGTCCAGGAGTGGATTTCAGACCTCAGCACAAGCCAACTTTATCTCACCAGATAAACCAGTTTATTAGACTAAATCCCCCCCCCCCCCCCCCCGCTTTTTTTTGAGAAATGTTTTAAACCCACTTATGCATTTTCCTTTACCCTAAATTGCTTGTATGAAATAATTATGTCCATGGCCACCAAGTGAAGTGTCTTCTGTTTTGTATGTGACCTGACTGTAACGGTGATCCTTTTACATTACACGATTGCAGATCTTTTTTGATGGAAGGAGAGAGAGTAATTTAAACTCATAAAGACCTATACCACAGCTGCATCCCAATGAACCCATCCAAGTATGGCGCTTCCAGCTCAGAAAACCCATCACAAATACTAAAAGTTTTATTGTAGACAAAATGATACACAATTATGTTACACATTACGATAGAAAAACACTTGAAACATTAACATACATGGAGACTCTTAAATCATTTGATATTTCTTTAGCAAAAAGCAATTTCTTTAGGTTTTTCATCACAACAAATGAATCTGTTCTCATTTGGATATTCTACCTCGCAGGTGTCCGTCCACTTCTGAACAAATCTGTGTGTGGGCCTACCAATCTGCTGTGTGGCCTACAGACCCAATTCTTAAGTCTTGTACACCCACTATACATACTGTAAGCCATGCTCGCCCTGTCCCTGCTGGGAGGAACCCTTCTGTACCTGCAGCCCGCTGTTTCCTGGCTCACACTCCCACCTGCGGGACCGGGGAGAACAGGCTTTCTGCTGCTTAGTAAGTCTGACTCTGACTCAGACCTTTCAAGTTCGCTTTGAGCAGAGTGAGAGAAGGTTTGCAACTGAAACGAAGATCTTCCATTTGCCCACAACAGTGAGGAGGACTGGAGAGTCCCCAGTGTCTGCCCAGTCTGTGCTGGCGCTACCAACCGCCTATCTGCCCCCTCAGGGAGCGGCTCCGCTCCTGAGCGCTGGCACAGCGGGTCGGAGCAGTTCTCGAAAGTAAGGCACTCACAGGTGTTTCAACCCTTCCCATCGCGGCAGGACTCTTTGGCAGAGAAGGACAGGACCTCAGGTCCACTGAGGACACTCCAGGAAGGTTTGCCCCGGGCTGCCTCCCCGGCCCCCAGACAACAGGAGCTTCGGCAGCTCACTGGGCTTGAGGACCCCGTGCTGAGACCTCTGCAGGCCACGTGCCGGACTCTGGATCAGGCTTACACTAACAGTGATAGTCTCCTGGGTTACACGGGCACAGGCCTGATGCCTTCTAGCTCTGCTGGGAACCTCGACGCTTTGACATTGGCTGTCACAGAAGCACGGGCATCGGGGCTCCATGAAAAAGTCTCAGGCTACAGCCTCCTTGGTGTCTAGTTTTCCACATGGCGTATTACCCTTCTGTAGCTGACTCACGCTGGCCAAGAGTGCAGCCCTGCCCACCGAGGCAAGGTAGGAAAAGGTACTTGCTTGCTCTGTTCTTCTTTAGAGTAGCCCAGATTTATCTCCGCCCTCTGGAGAGCGGGCCCCAGGTGAACCCCAGCCCACTCCAAAGAGGGAGCACCTTGTGTGCCTTGTCTCACACTCAGACACCTCCAGAGCTGGTACAGAGTAAAGAAATGCAAGCTGACAAAGCTGTGCCCATTCAGCTTCCCTCCAGAATCGGGAAACAACACAGTCTTAAAAGGGCTGCACCGGGGACTCCGTGCCCTCTCGAGAACACGCAGTTAGACTGAAGGGATGGTAGGGAGCCGGGGCATCCCAACGCACAGAACCAACCGCCTTTCTCCAAACACCAGGGCCACCACGTGTGCGTACTTCAGACACAGCTCCCCAGCCTGCTTTTGGGGATCCTCTTCACTGTCTTCACTGATCCTCGTTCAGTCTCCCCATGTGCTTGTTCGTGAGAAAATCCAGAAAAGGAATGCTGCAAATGGCCTGGTGAATATTACTCACTGTGATTTCTTTGGGAACCCTAGTCCAAAAAAAACCCCGAAAGTATAATTAGGTACAATTTGTCAAATGCACTCAGCAATAATTTAGTCAGTTAACTCACTAGAGGGACCATTCGCTTAGAGAAGGTGACGGCAAAGAGTACATGCAATGACTCAGGACTCTCCCACTTTTTATGAATTCTTCTCCTTTCTGATGAAAGCTGTAACTCCAGTTACAGTCCTAGCCAGGGCTCAAATCTTACCCCCCCCCCCCCCCCCCGTCACAGCAATGAGGACTTCATGTTGGCTCAATGATTAGCCGGCAGAGAAAAGAAAGACAGTAAAGTGGACAGCAGAAGAGAATGTTTTCAAGTCTTCTAAGTCTCAGCAGACTCAAGTGTGCTTCAGAGCACCATGAAAATAGGGACCGTCTCTCTTATCTCAGAAGACGGGAGGCAGAGTCCTGGCCAGCCAAGTGTGAGGTTCCAGGCTCTCATTCAAACCACCCAGGCTGCCACATCTCCAGTCCGGAACATGGAAAACACGGCTCCCCCTGCTTTCCAAGCAGGGCAACGGAGAGCAGATCTGGAAATTTTTATCCCCAGTTCTTTTTTTTTTTTAAAACTCAAGACCTCTATGTTGTCTATGTATGTTTGACCTAATATTCTCAGTTGGGACCTCATCACTGCAGGTACTATATTATAGTGTCAGGATTTTATGACGGCCTTCAGCAGAATAGAAGGAGAAGAGGATGTGGACTATTGTTCTTCTAAGGCTAGGAACTCTACATCCCACTCAAGAGAGAGATGAATGTATCAGGAGAGAAGTGGCAGTGAGCTCCAGGGTCCCCAGCCAGTGAGATGAGTCTGAATCTAGGGCCTGTGATCTGGGACACTGGAGACGACTCCCTTTCAGAGCTTAATTTCCCAGTTCCTAAGAGAAATGATGTGTCTGCAATGACAAACACCGTAGGTGATATTTATCAACTCGATCCTAGAGTCTGCCACTCGAGAGGTTCCCGTCTTCATGGAGACCCTGCTGCCTGCTCTATCCTGTGACACAACAGAGCTGGGTGTCTATGAAGTAGGCTGGGAGGGCACAGCTAGACTTTCTTCCACCAAGAGACTCGCTCAGAACTACAGAACGGACCCAAGCACGGCAACCCCATCTCCGACCGCACTGCGTTCTGAGTAAACAAAAGCTCTCCGAGAGAGAGTAACTGCAAGCCTGTGCTGTCAGCCGGGCAACAGTACCTGTTGGGAGACGCTGTCTGGTATCCCACCGCCAGTGCCTGTCTCAGGATGTCACTCACCAGCTGCTCCGTGGCCTACAACAGAAGACTGCATTGACAAAAGAGCCCCTGCCGGCTAGCGGGGGGTGGGGGGGTGGGGTGCGGCCGACCTCGGCGGCGGCGTCTACCTAACTTCTGAAGGAACTGCCAACTCAGTGTGACAAGGGCTCAGGAAAAACCGAACTTTTGGTTAGAGGCCACGACGCAGAGAAATTATAAACTGGATGAAGGGGTTTTCATTAAGCAGACGTTGTTTTCTAAGGAAAACAGAGCGCTGAGTGAGGGCTGCTCCCGAAGCCCCCCACTTGGAGGGAAGCGGAGTGGGGAAGAGCAGCTGGGGGAGGACCGGGCCGGCGTGGAAGCGGTCGCTTTTCTCACCCTTTGCCCGGGGGCAGGACGGCTGTGGCCGCTTCTCTGCTGTCACAGGCGGGAAACCCAAGGCCTTCCCCTCTCTAAAAGGAGCATGGATACTTCTCACACTAGGATACTTCTCTTAAATCTCTTCAAAAAAGATTTTATCTATTTTATGTATACAGTGCTCTCTCTGCACGTACAACTTTACGTCAGTAGAGGGCATCAGATCCCACCATAGATGGCTGTGAGCCACCATGTGGGTGCCGGGAATTGAACTCAGGACCTCTGGGAGAGTAGCCGGTGCTCTTAACCTCTGAGCCATCTCTCTAGCCACTAGGGTACTTTTTTTTTTTTTTTTTTTTTTAAGATTTATTTATTTATTGTGTTTACAGCATGTATGACTGCAGGCCAGAAGAGGGCACCAGATCTTGTTATAGATGGTTGTGAGCCACCATGTGGTTGCTGGGAATTGAACTCAGGACCTGTGGAAGAACAGCCGGTGCTCTTAACCGCTGAGCCATCTCTCCAGCCGCTAGGGCACTTCTTAATGGGAATAAGAAATGGCACTAAGGAGGCACAGACACCCGTGGGAGCCCGGGGCCTGCACGAGCCTGGGGTCTACCCTGGACACAACAAACCCTCAGCTCTTAGAGGGACATGACTCAGTTTACCTAAGGAGGAGGAGGAAAAACAGAAGAGAAAGGAAACTTAAAGCCTAAGGAAGATGAGGGATTTCAAAGCCGACCTCTCTGCTCCCCTGCTGACCCTCACTCACGGGTCCGAGAACCCAACCCGGTCTGCCGCCCGCAGGCAGGCACCCACCTTGAGGATCATGTCTTCCACCACCGAGGCGTACATGTTCCGGTGCAGTGCCACGGGCTGCAGGGTGATGCCGATCTGGAGGGGCGGAAGAAAGCATTGACTCCATCAGCGTTAGCAGCAGGCCTCTCTCGCCCCAGCAGGCGACCCTCTGGCTGGGAGGAGGGCTCTCTAACCACTCTGAACACGGGACCCCGCTTT